TCAGTCCTTTTTTCTGCTCTGTTGTCAACATGAACAGTAATGGGAAATCCAGACTCTAGACCATTTTGTGTTAGCCGTTAGCTTCACCAGCCGATCACACGGTCACCTGGTTTCTGAGCTCTCCAGCTGTTCTATAGAACCTCCTTGAACGCTTCATTTCCGTGCACTCAAAGTTCTATCGAGTGGAACTTCCCTGGTACTCTCCAGCACACTCTACAGCAGACTGAAAGCTAAAGTTTACCAGACCATCAAAACCTGAACCCTGTCTATATGCCACTGAATTTATCAACTGTTTCATCTGCTTTTTCAGCTGTGGACTCTTGTTCACTCACAGCTGTTGAGCTCATTTCGGTGCTGTGCTGTAGGTAGTGTGGTGAAAATAGAGTGGCAGCACTGAGCACTGGTGTAACACCCTTAGATCAAATTTCTTTAAGTGTTCACTGCAAATCCGTGAATACACCGAGGGCTAAACATCACAGTACAGGATTTGTTTATTATGAAGTAACAGCTGATGTTGCAGTCAAGAATCAGTGGCTGTGTGTCCAGTAGGAAGGTGGGCGTGGTCTGCAGACTCTGTGCAGCTGCCAGGTGGGAGCAGAGCGACTTGCCTTGTCCTTGGACTGGTCCACTGGAAGAATGGACAGGTACCAGAGCCCCAGCAGCTTTAAACTGTTTCTTCCAGATTTACAGGAAAAGAAATGTCTGAGCTTGTGTCTTCCCAGCAGCAGCAGCAGCAGTGATGTGCGGGTGACGTGCAGTGACTCTGCAGGCTGCATCAGTGTGTTCTCTCTGGCTGAAGGTGCTCTGATGGCTCTGTCTCAGTGGAAGGCCCATGACTTTGAGGCTTGGATCACAGCCTTCTCCTACTGGGACACACAGCTGCTTTATTCTGGTAATATGTCTGTATTATCTTGTAAAGCTGTATTTAAATTCTACAATAACTATAAAACAGTTATTGTAGAACTTAAATACAGCTCTRTCATCTTTAAAAAGTTTGGTGAAAACTTAAATGGTTTCTTTTTACTTACATGCATCATTAGGTTAGAATACTCTCAAATTTCACATTTTTTAGGATATGATCAGCTGATCTTCACCATTTTCTTAAATACCATAACATCTATTAAATGACTTGAGGTTTCCTTTTTTTTTTAAAATCACTTCAGTAGAAAAATGAACTTAATATTAGTTTCTTAATTTCTTCATCATCAGTGATTTTTTTTTAAGTAAAGAGAAAATAGTAAAAGATGGAAAAACAAAGAGAGAAATAATTAGAAATATTGAAATAGAGATTAGAAGTATATTAAATATACACCAAGAAAACACAGGACAACAC